ATCAAATTCAAGTAAAGTCGATCGCGTGAAGATGGTTAAGATAGAAGCGATTTGAAATTTATTTTGTATAGCGCGCAGTGCATGCGCAACCTCTTGTAGGGATGCCAACTGTCAAACGATAATTTTTTCGACCTAACCTAACCCTCGATGTCTTCAGATGTCAAATGAGTCGAATGAACACGAGCATACGCTGCGTGGATATTGCCATGCTTTTAAAAATAATATTTAATCAGTAGTGTAATACATTTTATTACATAGTATATTAATCGTATTAAATGTGCGATGTAACAGTGGTACAGTTTTACACAGTTTAATGAGGAGCATATAATATTGGTTAGGTTAGATTAAATTAATCAAAACAAGTTGCTGTGATGATACATTTAATATAATAGTATTAATTTGATGAATGTGCAACTATTGAAGTTAAATGATACTTGTGGGCACATTTTTAAAGTAATTATGAGTCTCGTATCTCATTTCAATTACATGAAACTAAAGGACAAAATATTTATATTCCACATTAATGTTATTCATTACAAGTATTATATTATTTTTCTTATATCAATCGTATTCAACCACATTATTTCATCGATAAAGCTTTTCATACCGCAAACAATACTGTACGATACTGTGCATGCAATTTTACGCAAGTAATACATGGCATAAAAATAATTTGCTCTTAAGTATTGCATACAACTCTCAAAAATAAATTAAATTATTTCCAGTAGGATCCAAAAATTACTACATTGCCAGGATTGTATTTTACAACTGAGATATCACGTTTTAATATGTGCACTATTATATACATAAGATGTATAAATTTATTTGGAATGTGCCTAAATCTTTATCTTATTTATAACAGTATAACAGAAAAATGCAATCTAATGAAACAGAGCAATGGAATAATTGGTTGATACTTACGCAGGTATACAATATTATCCTTTTTCCAACATTATACTTTTGGTACTTTTTATACGGATGTTATATCTGTAAATATGGTACTCGTAATGTTGTTTATTAAGATTATTCATGAGAAAAATCACGATATCTTTTGAAATATTGTGTATAGCAGTTCGAATTAAGATAATTTTAGAATTTGTAGAGTACTATCCAGAATTTTTCCATTAAAAAGGCGGACATGTGAAAAAATCTTTTATTCATAGAAAAAAAAATAATAAAAATATAACATTCACAAATTGATAATCTTAAATATCAACTTTATCCCTCTAACGATAAAAGAGCAAGTTACATTGATAACAGGTGAATACTGCATTCTCTATATTGTCAGCCAAACTTTATCATTGAATAATAAGGAAGAAAAAAGTTTCCATCGTACGAAAAAGATATATATTAACGCGTGTCAACATATAAGATATTTGTGAAATAATAAAAAATATTGTAGAAATTTTAAATATCTCTAATATATAAAAAACTTCATAAAACTAATCTATAATTTAGCATCTTGCAGATCTATTTTTAAACATAATACATACTTACAATAATATATTAGTTTTTATACAAACAATTTCGTTCATAATGAATTAAATTATAAGATTATATTTAGAAAAATATTATAATATAAATTGAAAATATTATTGAAATGTACCATTATTTCTGTATATAATTGTACTACTAGGGAAAAGATTATAAATAGATTTATATATTTAGATTTATATATAGATTTTAGGAATTTAAAATTTCTTTTTACAAGCACAGGATGAAAGGAAATAAAAGGACAATTAAAAACGTACACAGTGTTAAAACGAGAGTCAAGTATATTATATCGTACTTTAATAGTCTTATTCAAGAGAGTACGCCGACTCACGAGGATCTCCTCGTACTTTTTCTCGCAATTTATATTACTATAAAATGGTTAGAAGCCACAGATTTTGCATTACATACCCTCGCGAGATTTCTCACGACTCTCGAATATATTTGAAAAGATTATTAATTGCGCTGTTACTTTCGTCGATGAGAAGAAGCCAATCCGATGTAACGGATGTGCATTCTAAAACTTGATTGACTGCGGATGTATACGGAAGAAAGCCCGAAATATAAAATATTAATAATCTTATACATGTCTTGATGATCTAAACAATACTACATATTACATATATTTAATTGTAGTAAATATAATGTTATACTAAACATGTGTTTAAATAATTTTATAATAATAATTAATATATTTTTAATTATTTTTAATATTAATATTTAAAGTAATAATAAATAATAATACTCTATAAATGCATATACATATAACAGTAAATTTTTATCCATAATAATTGCTTGTAAAATTTAAGAAAAAATTTAGTTTTCACAGAATTTTAATGTATTTAGTCACAAATATTGCGTAGCGTTTAATTTCGCGGCTTTCTTCTACTTCGCGTCTACTTAAAGAGATTGCTCCTTTTCTTCTTATCTATACCTAATAACATTAGTGATAATATCTCAATCATACCAACACTTTGCTATAGCACACCTTTTTAACGAAGATAAATAATCATCATCTTAAAGTGAAAAAAGGTACATCAATGAATGTCATCTGGTATCCACTGCTGTTCATCAATTAATCATTAATGCACGAAGAAGAAAATACCATCTGGTATAATCGATCATTTATTTTAGACACTTTAGTATGATAGAAATCTCCTCATTACGTCGCTGAAATGAGAAATTCTTCACCTTTTCTTTATAATTAATGAAAATTATATTCTGCGAAAATTATATGTACTTGACCTACTTTAATTTTATATGACATTTGTATAAAATCTATTACTTTAAAATCTTTTTTTAATTTATTAAAAAATCCAATTACTAAAGACAATTATTATATATTGCATCTCCAGTGACGATTTCGCAGAATTGTGCCTTTTTTCACATCTAAAAAGAAATTATATTATTTTTAGAAAGATTTTCTATTTGATTTTAATCACGATAGCAATAAATCGCGTACAGTTTAAGAAGAAACCTACTTGTTTAACGAATTATAATAATCTTGTCACTAGGTCGTCATGACTATTTATTACATCTACTATCGATAGCGTATATCGCAAAACATGATGGTAGTCATGTAAGAGTCCAGATTTTTGCAAAATTTTATAAAATTTTGAAAAGAAAAATATCGCACTCCATTTTGTCCTCGTGATGAATATTTCACATTTGCTTTTATGAATTCCACTGTTTCATGCCATATGCATATTTGAACGAGCAAAAACTAGATTTATCTCATCTAGAACTTCTAATACCACATGGACTATCTATAAATAATAGAGATGGAAATTGAATTAGAAACGCAACATTACATGGAGAAATAATTAACGCATCAAATATGATTAACAATAATAGAACATTCAATATCGAAATGTTGAATGTGTTTTGTTAGGCGTGATGAAAGTTTTACCAGACAAAATGCCTAGAAATTATGATAGCTTCTTCATCAATTATTAATATCTTTTGTTTGAAATTCTATAGTATTCTATGATATTCCTTTATTTATAAATAGCTCTCAGATTAATTTTTTTTTACTTTTTAAAAACCTGGTAAGTTACAAAATGTTTAAAAGCTATAGTATTGTATAATTATATGATTTAAAGGACATAATGCGATGATCCAATAAAATCACACGTTATTTAATTAAATTAAAAATTTAATACACAGCCGAAAAGTTTTACGAGCAGAATGTTTATCGCGCGGATTCCTATAGATTAAATCTGGAAGTAAATATTTTTTTTATTCCAGTTTGGTATAAAATTTTATTGGAATGTTCGAATATATAGCGCAACGATTTAATCAACATACACGCGAAAGTTTCCTTAACAATTCGATTATTTATCTGGCAAGCTTAGCAACGAGTTATTTGGCACTTGACCTCTTCGAAATCCTGTTTCATTAAGGTTTTTTTTTAATCTTCATCACTGCGAGAATAATATTTGCTTTCGTTCGTACCTCTCTAATTAATACATCATTCAGCTCGAAGTGCGCAACGTAATTCAGGCCTAACACTTTGGTTATCGTTACATCGCTTACAATTACAATTATATGCTACGAGAAGTGACCTTAATCTTCTGTGTTATTGTTAATTGTCTCACGAAAACTGTGCTTATGAAAAATTTACCAACAAGACTGTTTTACATTGCAATCGCATTGCATTTTCGCACAATGCATGTTCTGAAGATTAAGGAAACCTGCTCGTATATATGCATACCTGCTTATATTACCTGCGTTATCTCCTATCGCGCCTCCTTAACTCAACGTTCTCAGTAGAAGAAAATTTACTTTAGAAAACTTAATCGCGCGGACATATTCACTGACATGTATTTAAAATCTATACATAATTTCGAGCAAAATCATTCCTATCACCTGGGTCATCTCTTTTTATTTAGCTACGAGCACTTTACTATTCCACAATCGCATTTCGCTAGACTCTTAAGTAAATATTAATAATAAAACATATAGTGTAAATATAATATGCACGTTTATATACACACATACACAGATGTATGTATATAATATAGAATTCATATACCACGCATGTATGGGCAATTCGATTAAATAGTATGTCGATACGTTTATCCGATGACCAAACGCATAGGCTAATTATTAATTAAGTTATCCTATCGTAAATTTGGCGCTATTTGGCATAGTTTTATTTATCTAATTTTTGAACCGTACTTTCTCGTCGTTTCTGAACGCAATTTTTCAAAATTGAATTTTCCAAAATACGAACGTGAAAGTCGTTGTACGATTAAAATAATATGGAACAATATGAAACATTTTCAAATAATACTTACTAAAATCAACTCTATTATATATCATTTATATATAAATTCGTTAATATTCATTTATTAATAATCATTGTATTCGGATGTACTTGGATGAAAATTTTTTTGCGAAGACCAATTCTGTGTTTATTCGATGGACATTGTTGAGCAAATAATTGTCCAATCATTTAATTGTTACATAAATTATTTGTCAAGCGAATATACATATAATTAATAATATATTTGAATGAATTCTACAAAATAAAAAATAAATGACTTCATTTTTCCGTTACATGTTCGATTGCAGTGTAATATCGTTGCCGCTCTGTTTATTCTCAGTCTCGCTGATTTTTGTTGATTTTAAAGTGAATGTGTGCAATTTCTGGAAGAAGTCGGCACGCCAATAACGTCATCTTCCTCTTCTGAAACACGTGGCAGAGCGGATTAACACAGGGCCGATTTCGAAATCTTTGTCTGCTGGTCGTCTGCTACTGTATGGAACACACAGTCAGATGATGCGACAGAGCGTGGTCCAATAAAATAGGAGTGCCTGCAGCCAATTCTGCACCAGCGTCGGCACAATCGTCTTCACAGTTGAAGTAATTGCTCTGCGCAAAGAAAATAGCGAATATCAGCATTAAATTACAGCACAATGTATTTAAGGTCGATTCAGATTTTAATTGAGATATTCGAGCATGTATAAAGCAAGTTCTATAATACTTTTTAATTTCAATTTTTAATTTTAAGGAATAAATCTTTTAATGCAATATATATTATATATATATATATATATATATATATATATATATATAATATATATATATATATATATATAATATATTTATAATAATATAATATTATTATTATATATTATAATATTATTATTATATATTATAATATTATTATTATATATTAATTAAATATAAATATTTTCTTGTTTCAATATATAATAGAAAGAAAACATTACTAACTCAATGTTTTTCTTGTGTATTATGATTTTGAAATGTTTAATTTAATTTGAAAAATATAATTAATTATTTCTTAATTTAAAAAATTAATTGTATAACTTTAAGAAAAAAACTCTACATAGCTAAAATTTATATCAACAGTACTTGTTACTTTAATAGAATATTTCATAATTTTCCAATTGTAACAATGCAAACTAACGAACCCAGAAGTGCCAGAAGTCAAAATAAAGCAACAAAAAGTTTTGTTCCACAACGAATAATCCGTAACAGAGATATCCAATTAATACACAAACTAGCTAGTATCGACTTTATTTGCACGAATATTGTCGTGTATTGTTTTGTTGTGTCTGCAGCAATCACGTACACGATATAATTGGTTTAAAAAATAAACCATATGAATTTTAATTGAATTTAACATTTCTCAGTTAATAATTCAAATAAAAGATTCTTAATTGCCAATTTGTGAAATGGCTGAAATAAAATGTTTATAAGCAATTGCAACATAACATGTATGAAACTTTTTGCAGGTGGAGCACACAACTATAATATATTACTAAAATTTTTTGCAAAGTTTGTCCTGTGACTTTGTTAACTATGAAAAGTTACACATTGTAACTTCAAGTGCATTTTATTCCAAAAAAATCTTGAAATTTAAGATTTAAGAATTATTGAGAGATTCTTAAAAATTAAACATTATTGTGAAGCTAACGTATCATGAAAAATTCACAAAAGAATTCTGTTTTTATTTTCAATAGTTCCATAGAGAGTTTTTTATAGTTTAAACAAATAGTTTTGGCCATTAAACTAAAGAAATGTTTCAGAAGAAATTGAGACGCCAAATTCATGTAAAGGTTTTAGTCTTGCGAGAATATTTTTATCATTTTTCGTCAGATTTTACGAGACTTAAATTTAAAAAAAAAGTTATATCTTTTAAAGACAAAAAGAAAAATATCGATTAAAATAAAATAATCACGACAAATGCATATATAAATATATTAGTATTCATATGAGAGTCTAATCAGTTTTCAAAAATACTGCTTTTTCTAGAATAATTTTCGAGTAGAGTTAGTATTTTTATTCTATAAAATTTTTTCTATAAAAAATCCTGATTATAAACATCATCAAAATATTCTAAAAATATTATAATTTATTTTGCCTGGTAAAAACATACTCGCATTTATCAAGATGAAAACTCTTTAGAAAATACATAATTATGTATAGAACTATAAATTGTTTTAGAATAAATAATATTCTTGAAAATCGATTAGCCTTTCATACTTCATAATCTCTCACATAACAGTGAAATAAATTATTTAAAAATTATTTTCATTTAATATAATCTTTTTAAAAAAATATTATTAATTATCAATCATTTTTTTTTTAAATGCAAGAATAAGTCAATATTATACGAGAACTGTTTTTAATTAAAAAGAATTCTTCAAAAATTAACTATTTCATCTGGATACTCATAAATATACGCGTTTGCTCGTGATTATTTAATTTTCACCGGTTTTTGCTTTTAAAAGATAGAATTCTTTTTGAAACACAATTCTAAAATTTTGAAAATCTGACGAAAAAGGAAAATTTCAAACTTTGCTATGTAAATTTAACATCAGTTTTATAATTTTTTTTTCTTTATTTGATTTAACAGCCAAAACTGTTTGTTTAAACTATAAAAATAATAAATTGTATCATGTGAAGAAAGAACCAAAGTAATATGTATTGAATTTTAATCGTGAATTACCTGGCAATCGATGCATCTGCAACTATCAGTTAGTGAGCAAGTGAGACCGAGAATCTCGACCGCCTCCTTATAGAGTTCTGCACTTGACTTTCGTCGTCTTGGTGGCGACGTTGGTGCACTAACTGTGCCGTTGCCCGATGATCTCCTGCCCTTCTTCAGCCTCGACGAGGAGTCTCGAGACAAGGAGGAGGTCGACGTCGATCCCCTTGGCCGATTGTCGCTCGTGAGCAGCGCTCGACCTGCTGGAGACGCGAACAGTTGCAGCATATCCATGTCCTATGATCATATATTCGCTAATTTAGTGAAAATGTTAGACATGATATCGCATAATTTATACATTTAAATTCAAGACAGACATGCATACACACACTTGACAATTAATAAAAATAAAAAGCACATTGCTTTATTTATATCTTATTATTAATCTTATTATTAATAAATTATTAAATATTATTATATCTTATTATTAAAATAACAGCATTTATAAAGAAAGTATTTTACATGTCATAGATATGATACATATTGTTTTCATTAATATTAGATAATTTAAAATTCTCTTACATTTGCGTTTTTCTCAAGAAACTTAAAATGTGGCAATTATAAGCTTTATTATAGAAGACAATGTAACTTTGAATTTTCCGGATAATGTCCAGCAGAGCATATTAAAAATGGTGCTCGTTATAAAAGTAAAGGGATTCTATCCGTCTAATAAGATAACACCCTCTCACGAGAATCTTCTTTCTCGAAATCTCATTCGTTTCGGATCGTCGGAAACCCCATTCGTGATGCGCCCTCAGGCGAAAGACTTTTCTAACAACGGCGAATGCACGGATATTATGACAAGGAGAAACGTGCCGTATATCTCTGAGACGGTAGAAATACTCCCGGATATGGCATATGTTATTAAAATTGTTGCGCTCTAAATGCGATGTTCGTGAACATTATTTCCTAGAATTTTCTTTAGCAAAAAAGCTTTACATGCATAAAATAAAAATATCATAATATCCTTTCGTATTTTTTATCTTCGAGATATGGAAGCGTATTATTAAAATTATCCGACTGTACAGATTTCTCTTGTGTTGAAATTTTATTTTTTAATAGTACTCTCTCGGCGAGTATATCCGCGTAGAAATGTAGGACATTCTACGGCAATTTACATCGCGGTTTCATCTTTTTGCAGCATGAAGCATATTTCTAAACCAAAGTATGAATATAGACGCGTTTATTAAAATTGTGAAACTATACGTCATAGTGCTCGTTCGCGGATTTTACTTTGTAAAGCTGCTCGTAATGAGATCAAATTTTCATATTTGAAAAAAATATTTCAGTCACAATCTAACCTCATAGTCAGAAGCAAATATAATCTACAAACTTATAATTAAAAATATTAAAAACAACGTATGATCTTTTATGATTTTTTATAAGGGAAAACTTTTCACGCGCAAGACAAGGATGTACTGAAAACCCAAGCGCAAATTCAGACGATATTTAAAGAACAGCATACTTAATTGCATGCAGATCATTAAAAATCGCTCGCTGAAATGAGCGTATTCACGCTTTCATATTGTCGATCCCCGAATCGTTTCACCGGAAGAAAATAATTGGAATCGAATAATTGGATTCAGCTTGAGAAGTTGAAGAACTTGAATAGATCTATATAGATATCTCGATTCCCGTCTTGCGCATGAATTTTCCGCTTTTACTTAATTTTACAACTTTTACATTAGTATTTACATTCCATAAGTATTTATATACGTTGAAAAAATAATAATTATACGCTTCTCCTCTCCGCCATTGTCTAGCGAGTTCAGTTCTTGTTGCCACATTTTCGTTAAAAGATTTTTCATCAAATTTGCTGAAAATCTTGTTGGAACTATTTGCGATCAGTAAAATCGAGATGGAAACCACGCAATTTTAAAAGCACTCTCTCCGGAACGCAGACTGATAGCTTTGCAAACTGCAACTATACACTATGAACTTTTGCTAAAATGCAAGATGCGCTCTTAGCGAGTGCAGCAAGCTTCGTCTACGAGCGCGGTCGAAACGGCTTAAGCTACGTTTAATGTATCTCAACCGACATTTAGAAAGGCTTCAAGGAGGAAAATGGTGCTCCCTGGAAAAGCCAGAGATACCACACTCGGATGCAACTAGGATTTGTTAAATAATCTCGCATTATTCCGGATTGTAGAAAGTATTATAAGTGTCAGGCGAACGTAATAAATTCTCACAATACTTCAGTACTGGTAAAATGTATAGATAAAATTACAATCGATTACAGATTTTATAGATACATCATCAATTTTAATCATTAAAATTACGTAACTCAAAACGCAAAAAGAATCATAAAAAATGTTATAATTTTTTTTCTATTTTCCTCCTTATTCTTTTTTTGTAATATATGTATATATATATAAAATAAAAGACAGCAATACATATTATATATTTGGAAAATCTTAAAAATCAAATTAAATTCATTATGTTATTCAATTTCATAAACTTTGAGAGCAACTGATTTTCAATTACTGCTCTGATTAATAGTAATCGAACTGCATCCAGTCAGAAAGTTCATAGTGAAATACAGGAGAGAGAAGTGACTCGAGTGACTCCTTTGTCGACAGGAAATGCATCCTGTCTTCTTGTTGAGCATCCCATTGAGAGAGATGCAGTTAGTGCAACTTTAATGAAAATGTCGGTACATTAATGTCATCACGAACTTCAGTAAAAGCGTGCAATTATCAATTCAGCATTGTTGTTCAGCGGTATCATAATTTAATCTATTGTGAAATATTTTGTCCATACATTAATGTCTCAATGTAGCAAAACAGAGAGATATATCATATTTATTTGATAAGCATTATCTGATAATTCGTATCTCATTAATCTTGCAATAATTATACAAAATAATAAAATTTTGTAGTTGAACACATTCAGGCATAGAAAACGGAATTTTATCATTTATTAATTTAATGTGACGTACATTTTTGATAATAATTTTCACGAAAACAAACATATAATTGATTCATGACAGATATTTCAATTGCATTCTAAATTTACTATAGAAAATTTGTCGAATGAAGAGAAAGCCAAACTACTGTCGGGAAAATTTTTGCTCTGAGATTTAAGATCACAAAAATAATAATCATCTTTTTCCGCGCTCGCGCGAGATTTTCACACTCACCTTTAATATTATCTACTAAAAAAAAGAAATAAAAAATCATTCTTAGAGGAAAAAGCATCCTTAATCCTTTTCCGCCACCGAGTCTCCATCTCATGTGATTAAATTTCGAGAAGTAAAGTTCTTTTCGACCGTAAAACCATTTCTCTTTTCACGGTGACGACGACACAATTTTTATCTTATCGTGTTCAGGGGCGATGCCTAAAGGAAACGTCATCTTCAGGATAGACAACACAGACAAAAGAAGTCGATGGCAAATGACAAAGAGATCAAATGGTAGACGATAACAAGTACCAAGCTGATTCGATGTACCAAATGTATGGGAGGAAGACGAGGAATCCCAGGTTGATCCCTTGGGACACATATCCCATCTATATATTTTCAGCTGCGCGTGAACTTTCCTCGCATCTTTCAACGCTGATAGATAACCCGGTCAAAAGGGCGGGCTTAGATAGAAGCTACTGACGAAGACTTTGCCGCGAGAAAATGAATTCTACGGAAAAAATTTACGTGTGTGCATTTGCAGCAAAATAATTTTTATTTGAAAAATATATTGCAAGATAGCCTATGATATATTATTCACTATATTTTTTTCTCATAAGATCGAGCGGAGAAATATCCCGTTAAAGTAAAGCCACATATATATTGAAATAACTATAGAATCTCTCAAAAAATAACACATTTAGAAACTGGATTTTTTAACAATAGTTTAAATTTTAATTCTTCTATCAATGGGCAAAGTATTTTTACTCATTTATTTCATCTTATTCATTATTAATGTCAATTGTCGATTAATAAAATATCTCATTGAAAAAAGTCATTATTTGCTAAAATCGAACATTTAGTAATTCGGAGACTGAATTTCGTGCAAATTTCCGATACGCTTTGGTTAATTAATTTCAAGTATTGATTGGATGTAAACAGTTAATCGGTGGAAAATCAGATACAGCAAGAGTATTGCAAGAGAAATCAGTAATCAATAGTTTATAGCGGTAATCGATCTCTGATTTACTCTAGCCAATTTAATTATCCATGAATCATTCTAATAACTTACATTTATGAACCGATACAATAAGCTCATGAATAAGAAATTTTAGCTAGAAGGAGCAAGTTTAAAAGTGAAACAAAATCATTATTGTGCGATAATATAAATCGGATTTAATTTTTTATTATAAAACATCAATTACATGCTAACTAAGTTAATTAATAACTAAATTAACAAGTAATGTACGTTAATTAAATGATAATTAAGTTAAATGTTTATACTGCAGCTATTTTAATGAATATATTATATGAATATATATATTTACTATAATTCAAGAAAAAGCTTTTTAATTTATATAAAGAGAGAGAATATAAAAATAAGATTTTATATTTTTAATTTTTAATTAATCAATGTTACGTATTAATAAATGTATTAGAAATGAAAATATTAATATATTATATGATAATAAAAGCGATAACTTCTGTATAAGTTCTGTATATGTTGACGAAAAGCTTTTCGATGAAACTTTCCCTCTCTCGTATGTTTCCATTAACATACATCAATTTTCTAAATAATGCATGCTGTTATATCAACATTATATCGAATAAACCTCTCCCTCTCGTCAGAATTTATGTAATTTATGAAACGTATCTCGAACGCCGCATTATTTTGCGATTTTATTCCCCTCTGTGTCAATAGTAAATATTTCCCGCATATGTCATTAAACAGTAAATGCTTCTCATTGTCCATAGTTCGCGCATACGGGCTCTTTTCTGGTCTTTTCTTCAGAATTATCATTTGTCACTCGCTGCTAAAGGATCAACAATAATATAATACAAGTACACCTTGCTCGCTCAACAGCAATATTCGTCTCTCAGCAATATTCCTCTCTCTCTCTCCCTTTTGCCTTTGTTAATACCCTTCATTGTGACCTCGTTGTCAACAGAAACCATTGAGAGGGAGCTGCTGCTAATGAAGAGAATCTAGTTAATTAAGTTAATTAATACCGACAGAGACTGTGGGAAACTTTCGATAAAGGGACGGAGATGAGAAGGGAGTTCGGCTAAAAGCTCACATGTAGGAGACATAGACAGGACGATTTGCGAAACAAGATAATTACGCCCGTTTCATCGCGCTGGACAAATAATGAAAGAACATTATTGGTCCGGACTCTTTAGCCTATTAATATTGCGAGTCGACATGTGATCAAATTAATAAAGTTCGCGTGGCAAATCCATTTGTATTAAAACCGAGGTTTTTACTATGGTCCCTTAAATTCAATCTGCACGTATCCTTCGTAGCGATAAAAATCCTCCTTGCGTTTCACGAGAATGATAATTATCACGTGCGTAGGTATCATACGTGATTCTGCTAGATTGTTGGTAGAAATTTATGAAAGAATTATTGTAAATCTATCTATGATTATATTTGATTATATAGAATATATCACCATCACAATAGTTTTTAGTTTATTTAATTGTTAATATTTCCGTCTCCCAACAAAGAAATAAAATGATATGTATACGTCGTAAATTTATATAAAACATTTCATGTATGAACTCTAACACAAATATATATGAGATAATCAATAAGAGATAAAAACAAATCTGTTTGGATATATTTTTATAGAACGCGCAAAATAACGCGCGTAATAATATGGAAAAGAATTTTAATTAATACCGATTCGACATTAGTTTAATTAATGAATTTTTTTACGCTTCGATAAGCAGATCTCCCTTCATTGCAAATTATGTAAATTACACTTTTTTTTTCTGTGCCGTTATATATGTGTGCCTCGATAATTGCAGTAACTCGGGCGCAAATGCCAGATCTGCATATCACATCAACGAATTCGCATTAATTTTAATGCAACGAAAATATTAAAGCTGCTGTGCGAATCCAAACAGTAAATTTTTATCGAGAACGAAATGTTTTCTGTATTAATTATTTCATCATAATAAAGATAACATGTTTAGCCAGTCTTTTGCAGGAAACATTCCCGAATGTATTGTGATCATGTTTGTTAATATATCGCTATTTCTAGTGGATTATTCGAATAATAATACATATCGTTATGGTACGATCGCTCCGATCGAGTATCAATTTATGCGTTTGTGCTATTATTTGTGAACGTGATTATGATAGGTATTGTTTTCCCGGCAATTATACGACGACTGTTTTCGCGAGAAATACGCATAACGCGCTACAAAATAACGTATAAACATTTCAATAATATTCAAAATAATATCCTTCGTAAAATATATATTAAACAGTTTAAAATAATCTTATGTTGTATCAATATATTGATTGTGACAAATATATATATATATGTATATATATATATATATATATATATATATATATATACACACACACAAACACAGACACACACACACAAATATACACACATACACATATATATTTATTTATTTATTTAAATTTATTCACACACTGCACCAATAACAACAAATTTTTTTATATCGAATGTAATGATGTAGTTTTAATCTAATAATAATAATAATAATTTATATTAATAGGAACTATACATTTACATTAGTCATGATAATAATTGCTGTTTCATGTACATAACAGTAATTAATATTATCTATGGAATAACTATATACATGCAAATCTATGCAATAATTTCTAGATTGATTTTATAAACTGTTCTAAAATAGTTATTTGGTAACAATAATCGTTTACTAATAAATTTGAGGAACACAAATAAAGTTCGCGATTGCTTATTATACAGATAATTTTGAAAATAGAAACCGGTTATATATATTTCAAATTAATTAGTAACAATACTAACATACTTCTTTTTGTCGAATTTAATTATAATTTAATTGTACTTTGATTTACTAAAACATAATTGAATCCTCTTCCAGTCGATCTACGAAATTTTACATGATTCGGAAAATTACAATTATACAATTGAATGATTAATTATGTGATTCGATTATCGAGATTGAAATTCATGTTATTATGCGTAGTACAACACAGAGTTTGGCAATGCAATTGTGGCAATAATTGATGAGTCTAATCGCGAATCTCATATCCATTAGAACATGGAATAATAGATATCAAATAATTACTTAGTTCGCAGAAATGAATCATATAAAGGTTGAACTTTCCCTAATTACATGTACAAATCACAATAAATAATTCAAAAAATTAATTTTTATCGTCACGTTAATCTTACAATTAAAAGTAATATTTCGACGACAGCGTACTTGGATAGTAAGTTTACAATTGGATAGTAAGGTTACTGTTATCTGTGTACCATTTCGATCATAAGATTGTACATGATCATAACAATAACAGTTACGGTAAACAGTATATTCTGAAACGTTTGCGGTTAATAGTCTGATTATATATTGCATTGACGATAGTTTGTTTACCAAGTTAATTTTCCTCAAATATGAGGACATCATAAGTTAAGCCATAATAATCGTTTCACGTAAAGCAAGAAAAACATTTGATCGAAAAATGAACAATTACAATTAAAATTATTATACAACTAAATAATTAATTATTTATTTTGCTCGCTCGACTTATCAATACGCACAATTTAACGAGATGGCGATCAGCGAAAGAACATCTATCACTACGACGATTCACCTTATTTCCTTTTATAACGATGTATAAAAGGAAATGTTCTTACGAAGCGGATCACGAACGGATCGCAATAACAGCTGTGGCTAAGCGGCTCATTACGCGCCGAATTACCATACTCACCGGCAAGGATTCAGGCGTGTGGTCCAGCACGTATATGCCGTTAGTGTATCCATACAGCATCGTGTCCAGATCTGAAACCCAAGAAGAGCGAGCAAAGCATTAAATTGGATCTAACTAGTTGCGGCACACACTAATGCCAGTAATACGCGCACTCACGGTTGCGTCACCGCAACATTCTAATTTACGCTGGATGCAACGCAGTACAGGGAAGAGAAATCCCCTAATACGGTCGGAATGAGAGAACACATCCTCAAATCCCACCCTTTGCCTATCCTCTCTTTACGATCGTAATCGCTTGAATTTCCTCTAGGACTTCGTCAGTCGCTCCGACATCATTTCACGAACATTGTGTCGAACTTGATTCAATATTTATGTACTTAAAACTTTCTTGATATTATGGTGCTTATATTGCGCTGTGCTGCATTATAAATTATGCATTATGCTTTATATGTTTTGTTTTGTGAGCATTTTGTAGCTTTATTTATTTTTTGAAATTGGAGAATATCTGTTTTTAAATAAACAAACAAAATATTTTTATCAAACTTAGATAAATAATATAAGTCACGTATCGGTCAATTAGTAGTTATGTGCAATTTTATAAAAACAAGAAATTTAATACGTAATTTTTCTATATACATACTATTTAATTTTCTAAGTATAATTCAACAATTGATAATTATCAATTATATTTTTAATAATCATAAATATGATTTTCAGACAAAAAAAATTTCTCTTAAAAAAAGCTTGTATAAATGTAATTTACCACAATCGTAACATTCATTAAATAACGCTAACGTAATAACCGTCGAAGAGCTAACGAGTTTTCCGCATTGATGTACGCTGTTTCGGTAGAAAAAATTATTATCGGGTGAAATGAAAATAATGGAGCAAAGGCAAAACCATCGCGGCTGTTATAATATATTTACGAAAAATTTAATAGCTAGACAGAGATCGATTGCACCGCCAGAGAATTAATCCGTTGGTACAAAACTCACTGATCTGTGAATACACATACGGATTCGATCAGCAAATTTACGATATTAATGATTTCCTGTTTGCGGTTACAGTATACTAAATAACGCTAAGTGAACAGTATTAAAAACGTGCATATTATTTGATATTTGTTATGTACATATTTGTAAAGCATTTCTATTATCTTATAATTAAAATTACTTATTATTCTATTATCATTATTAAATTAATTATTCGTATTTTTTAAAAATAATAAGTAATAAGTTTTATTAATCGATCAATTAATCGAAATAATGGCGAATAGTTTTTGTCTGACCATTAAAGGTCTTTTCTCCTTCCACGATTCTGTGATGTTACTTACAATTAGCCGCATTTTTCGAAAGAATCGTTATCAAACTTTATAAATGGCATTTGAAGAAAAGATTGTTGAATACTCCCACAGTTGTGTTCATGTATTATACAGGTATTATACATGTTCTATCGACATTTATGATGAATGATATTGAATGTGACGAGAGAGGCAATATTTCAAAATTATTGCGTGATATTTCATCGATGAACACACTTCGGACCTTGATAGCAATTCATTTCGAATACGAAAGATCTCGACCTTCGACCTCATCTATTACATTACGCTATCGCTCGTATCGCCAGATGAGAATCAATCGAATCACAAAGCTATCCAGTGACGCTTGTCTAATGGTCGATTTCCGATGGAACGCCGCGATCACTGTCTTCGCTATCTTCCAAAGGATATGCGGCACTTTACATCGCTCCACGATTTGGCGAGAATTTCAATTTGCGAGGGCACATTGCATCACTAAAAGGACGTCCGTACCAAACGCGAGAGGTCATTTTGAGGCCATCGAACGCCCTGAGCTAACAGAATTTGCTGCGGCACTTTACGTCACCTTCAGTACGAAAAGCGAAGATATACAAATACCAGCATACACACATCTATAGAGAAACCTATAATTCCTATAATCTATATAGAACCTTCAATTTTATTTAACATTTTTTTCCTCAAAAAGAAGAGAAAATAGAGATATAATAATAATAAATATCTCTAATATATGCACAAAATATAGAAATTCGTCGCTATTTAATGTATTTGCAGGACTAATGATTCTTAATTTAAAGTCAACCCGACCACGACGGAAAGCACGATGATGTAATAATAAAATAATGTATTCCGCGCGACAAAGAGCACGATTAACACATGAATTGAAAAGCGTGAATAAGTACAACATAAATCGACGCCCGCGATCGATTTGAAATTCAGTTTCACGACGAGGATGTTCAATCGCGCGAATAGAACGCGCGATAAACGTTACATTGCGTATATATTCAACGATAAAGAGATCGAAATAGAACAATGAGAGATAGATTGTTTCCGACTTGTCTATTCTCTCTTGTCCGGAAACTTCGATCGAAACTGATTGACCGAAAACCGATTACGCAAAGTGTCGCTGCCGAAAAATTTCAACTCTCGCGATAGCGTCGTTTCAAACGAACGATATATCATAGTCAACGTTGATATTTATTCTATAGATCCGTGCGGCTATACATCATAATATAATCTCCTTAAAGAGATCACTTAGAATAAATTTATGGTAAATTAATAACACAAATGTTTTACGATAACAATTATTGAAAATTTATTATTTTCTTTGTGCTTCGCTTTGATATATCGCTTGACTGGAATGTACGACGTTATGTATCGTCTGTTCAGATGAGGAGAAACAGCAAAAGAGAGGAAATACAAAGCTGCGGTACATACGGCGGTGCCCCGAATTGCACCCATAAACCGCATCGCCGTTGCATACCGCAAATATCGAAATTGTTTCGCGCTACTGATATATGTCTCCCCGCCTCTCATATTCTTTGGATGAGGATTGTAATCGGCTGTAACTGTTATGGTTGCCGGTTATGGCCTTATTTTCCTTGCGCCATTTATGTTGCCATTTATGTAATAATACGCTAAAAGCTGCTCGAACAATGTAAATTATTTCAAATATCTCGCAAAAATTATACCTCAAACTGATAGTTGCGCGTTGTTTGAGACGTCGAAGAAACGTCGAAGATTTATGTACCACGAGAGGATGAAACTAGATTTTTATCCTGAAAGTCGATCATTTGTCTCCGGAAAGGATACTGCGAACGATCGCAAAGTCTATAATATACAGCTGCAGTCTGTAACGATGTATCGTGAATGCATCACAAGTAACTTGAGCGCAACATCGAACCAACCCTGACAAATCTCCTTGTATTACACGATGGATGCAGAACGACCGAAACCAATTCTCCGCATGTTCCGTCACGCGTGTGCTCCCGTTTTTACGCGAGACATATACGTTCTATATTTGAAACACTTGGCTTTGATCAATTTTTAACGCATGAAAGCCGCGCTCGGGGAATATAGTGAATTGCAACGAAACACTTGTGCATTTGATACGGTATAGCATGTCCGTAAAAAATAGAGCGAGTCGTTCGTGCAACAGAAATCGAAAATTGACCCCTTCTATCAAGTTATTTAAAAAAAATTCCGCTATAAAAAGAGAGAGAGAGATTGTTGAATTCGTATGCTGCTCGGGATTCCTATTGTCACTTCTCGATTTTTTCAAATAAAAAAAAATAGATAAAAAAGAGAAAAAGATAGATCAACTCCGAGAAAATATATTGCGAATAATCTCACTCGGGAAATAAAGAAAAGGTAAATAAATGGAAATTCTATACTAAAATAAAGAAAAAAAAATTCTTTAATTTTTATTTCTTCTCGTAAAATCTTCAAATAGCTCTACTTTAAAGAGTTATGTATTTCTCCCTCATCTAGGGGTGTTATCCGATGAAGCATAAAGAAATCGAAGTAGGCTATACATCAGGTCGTGAGAATTTATTGCTAATTACTTTTCCATGCCGACCTATTCGACCGCGAACGTCATTCGTCGTGAATTTATCGCCATTATTTTTATACTCCCTTGTGAGCACCTGGCTAAAATGTATGCGAACGTATTCCAACAATCGCGATATAATATGAAAAATATGATTTATGATTACTGGTTGTCACACAAGATTTAAAGCAGTCTTCAAAATAAAAGAAAGAAAGATATATATATATATATATATATATATATATATATATATATGTATGTATGTATATATAATTATGAGCAGAAGATATCGCGGTAATATTCCACTCGATCGTTAACTTTACTATTTTGCTGATTTGCAAAATGTCATAATTGACGCTATAAATACAGTGAAATGGCAAATCCGATTGTAATTACGATTGCATTTTGCTAATGGCAATAATATTAGTCGTACCATCATGATTTATGTGTCCGCGACAAATAATTACTTCGATACTCGATAATTCAATGCTTTAATCATTGTACATTTATAAGATTAACGAAAGAAATAAACTGTAAAAGTTATAATTGAGTTTGTAACAAAAATTAATTATACAGAATTATTAATTCTTATTCACATAAAAAGATGTATTGTATCTGTTAAAAAGTCTATCTTTAATCTTTACAATATCTTTACAATATCTTTACAAACTATTATATACAGGATGTCCCGAAACTCATAATCAATTTTTCAAAGACAGATTCCTGGGATCATCCGAAGACGATTTTTCCTCAACGAAAATGTCGAGGCACTAATAATTTTCGAATTATAAGTGATTGGAAATAAGGGGTTTTTCGTAAACTAAGCTTTGTAGGAATAAAATATTAACAAAACCACATTCTTCGATTAATTTTAAATAAAGTTTACTTTAGTTGAGTTTTAATTTAAGGCTTAATTGCAAAGATATATGATGACAAAAATCGGGAACATGCAAAAAATGATGGCCTTCATCGACATTTTTGCTGAGGAAAAATCGTCTCCAAATGATCCCAGGAATCTGTCTTTGAAAAATTGATTATGAGTTTTGGGACACCCTGTATATAGTAAAGGAAATAATATAACGATAATATTCTTTAAAATAATCCTTTCAATTCAATTATTAAAATTAAAAATAAAGATCAAACTTGCTTCATTTTGCAGAGAATCAGGTACATTTTGAATTGTGTAGACTGATCGTAGGATCGAAGTT